CCCCACTCCTGCCAGCACCCAGCACCCTTCCCCCCCGGCACCCGCTTCCGGGTGCTGCGCTGGGGCCAGGCTCCTCGCTGGACTGGGGGGGGGGGGGAGCCCAGCCAGGTGTGGGGGCAACCCCAGATTGCACCCGGGACCCCCGGGTTTGCACCCAAGACCTGGTGACCTCAGACTTGCACCCCGAGACCCTAGGTTGCACCCGAGACCCCAGGCTTGCACCCCAGAACACCAGAAGCACCCCAGGACCCCCAGACTTACGCCCCTGGATACCAGGAGCACCCCAGACCCGCTTTGCACCCCAAGACGCCCTGGCTTGCACCTGGGACCCCCGCTTTGCACCCAGGACCCCAGGCTTGCTCCCTGCCACCCCTCCCACCTACCTCACTCTCTGCCCCTTGCAAAGTAGCACCCAAGACCCCCAGGCTTGCACCCCCGATCCAGATTTGCTCCCAGGACCCCTGATTTGCACCCAGGACCCTAGATTTGCCCCCTGCCACCCCATTTACCCTCTGCCCCTTGCAAAGCAGCACCCAGCACCCCAGATTTGCATCCAGGACCCCAGATTTGCATCTAGGACTTCAGATTTGCATCCAGGACCCCAATTTTGCACCCAGGAGCCCAGCCTCCCTTCCTGCCCCCCCACTCACCCTCTACCCCTTGTGAAGCAGCACCCAGCACCCCAGATTTGCAGCACCCTAAATTTGCACTCAGGACCCCAGATTTGCACCCAGGAGCCCAGCTGTCCCCCCCGCCCCTCCACTCACCCTCTTGCGAAGCAGCACCCAGGACCCCAAATATACACCCAGAAGCCCAGCCACCCCCCTGCCCCTGCCACCCCACTCACTCTCTACCTGTTGTGAAGCAGCACCCAGGACCCTAAATTTGCACCCAGGACCCCAGATTTGCACCCAGGAGCCCAGCTGTCCCCCCCCGCCCCCCCACTCACCCTCTACCCCTTGTGAAGCAGCACTCAGCACCCCAGATTTGTACCCAGGACCCTAAATTTGCACTCAGGACCCCAGATTTGCACCCAGGAGCCCAGCCACCCCCCCCCGCCCCCCCCACTCACCCTCTACCCCATGCGAACCAGCACCATCTCCACGACTCACCCCACGCTCAGGAGCCCATCCCCAGGGTGGGGATTCGCAGGGTGACCCCCCCCCCCATCTCCTCTTTCCCCCCTTTTCTCGCTTCCCGCCCCCCAGGTCCGGTTCCTGGAGCAGCAGAACAAGATGCTGGAGACCAAGTGGAGCCTCCTGCAGAGCCAGAAGACCACCCGCAGCAACCTGAGTGGGCTCTTCGAGGCTTACGTGGGCAGCCTGCGCCGCCAGCTCGAGGGCCTGGGCCAGGAGCGCCTGCGCCTGGAAGCCGAGCTGGGCAACATGCAGGGGCTGGTGGAGGAGTTCAAGAACAAGTCAGTCCCGACCCCCCCCCCGCGGCTCGTGCCCCTCCTCGGGTGGTTTTAGGGGGGGGTGGGGTGTGTGGGTGCGTCCCGTGTGTCGTTCCCCCCGCCCCGTGGCGTTTGGGGGGGGCTGGGGGTGGTGGGAGGGGGCTGGCGGGGTGGCTTTGCCCTGGGAGGGTGGTTCTTGCACCGCCCTTGCAAGGGGCAATGTGGTGGGTGGGGTCCCCATGTCCCCCCATATCCCCTCGTCCCCACAGCCCTGTGTGCCCAGGTCCCCACATCCCTGTCCCCCCATATCCCCATGTCCCCACATCCATGTCCCCACATCCTCCCCATGTCCCCAAATCCCTGTCCCCCCGTATCCCCATGTCCCCACAGCCCTGTCCCCCCATATTCCCAGGTCCCCACATCCCTGTCCCCCCGTATTCCCATGTCCCCACATCCTCCCCATGTCCCCACATCCCTGTCCCCCCGTATTCCCATGTCCCCACATCCTCCCCATGTCCCCAAATCCCTGTCCCCCCGTATCCCCATGTCCCCACAGCCCTGTCCCCCCATATCCCCACGTCCCCACATCCCTGTCCCCCCATATTCCCACATCCCCACATCCCTGTCCCCCCCGTGTCCCCACATCCCTGCCCACCCCCCCATCCCCAGCTCCAAGCCCTCCCCCCTCCCCCCCAAGGTATGAAGAAGAGATCAACCACCGCACGGAGAAGGAGAATGAGTTTGTCCTGCTCAAAAAGGTGATGGGGGGGGGGGGGGGACGACAATGACACCCAGGTCTGGGGGGGGGGCTCGCGGTGGGGGGGGGGCTGACGGGCTGCCTGCTCTGCCCCAGGACGTGGACGAAGCCTACATGAACAAGGTGGAGCTGGAGTCGCGCCTGGAGAGCTTGACTGATGAAATAAATTTCCTGAGGCAGCTTTATGATGAGGTAGGGTGTCACCTCCCTTTGGGGGGGGGGGGGGGGGGGGGGTCACACACACAAGTGCACCGAGTTGCCCATGCTCAGCCCCCCCCCATGGCGTGCAGGAGCTGCGGGAGCTGCAGTCTCAGATCTCCGACACCTCCGTCGTCCTCTCCATGGACAACAACCGCAGCCTGGACCTGGACGGGATCATCGCCGAGGTGAAGGCGCAGTACGAGGAGATCGCCAACCGCAGCCGCGCCGAGGCCGAGAGCATGTACCAGGTCAAGGTGAGCTCCGGCCTCCCTCCGCCCCGGGGGTCCCCGCCGCTCTCCCCCCATCTGGGATGATGAAGGAAGAGCAGGCTCCTTCCTCCTCCTCCTCCTCCCCGAGGCTTCACCCTCACACCCGGCTGGGCAAACACCCTCCCTGCCCCGGAGCGGGCGGCTGCTGCGTGGGAGAGATCCCGGCTCCAAACCCAGCCGGAGCCGCGACAGCCCAGCCCGGAGCGGCCCCCCCCGGCGTGGGCATGGCCGGGCTCTTTTCTCCCCGGTTTTGGGGCGCTGGGGGGAGAGGGGAGGCGGGGGGAAGCGCCCCGTCTCCATCCTGCCCGCCCCCGTGCCCGCAGTACGAGGAGCTGAAGACGACGGCCGGGAAGCACGGGGACGACCTGCGCAACACCCGCGGCGAGATCAACGAGCTCAACAGGCTGATCCAGAGGATCCAGGCGGAGATCGAGGCGCTCAAGAACCAGGTCTGGGAACGGCCCCCAGGGCGGGAAAGCGGGGAGACGCGGCCCGCTCCCCCCGCTGCCGCCCCCCCCCTGGCATCCCCTAGCCCCCCCGGGGCCTTGAGCCCCCCGCGGCCCCCACCCTGGGCAGCCCCAGATCAGAGATATCTCCGAGATCCGGGGGGGTTCGTAGGCTGGGGGGAGGGAATGGTGGGGAGGGAGGGGGTGAGGGATGCTGGGGGGCATTGGGGACACTGGGGGTGAGGGATGGGGGGGGCATGGGGGATGCTGGGGGGTAGAGGGGATACTGGGGGGCAAGGGCTCCTGGGGGGCAGGGATGGTGGGACATGGGGGATACTGGGGGGCAAGGGGGATACTGGGGGTGAAGGATGGTGGGATATGGGGGATACTGGGGGGCAGGGATGGTGAGGGCATGGGGCATACTGGGGGCAAGGGGGATACTGGGGGGTGTGGGGGACACTGGGGGTGAGGAATGGTGGGGGCATGGAGGATACTGGGGGTAGAGAGGATACTGGGGGGCAAGGGCTGCTGGGGGTGAGAGATGGTGGGACATGGGGGGATACTGGGGGATGAGGGGGGTACTGGGGGTGAGGGATAGTAGGACATGGGGAATACTGGGGGGTACGGGGAATACTGGGAGTGAGGAATGGTGGGCCATGGGGGATACTGGGGGCATGAGGGATGTGGGACATGGGGGGATGTTGGGGGGCATGAGGGACACTGGGGGTGAGGGATGTGGGACATGGTGGGTAAGCTGGGGGGCAAGGGATACTGGGGGGGAGAGATGGTGGGACATGGGGGATACTGGGGGGTAGAGGGGGTCCTGGGGGGGCAGGGGATGCTGGGCCATGGGGTTCTTGGGGGTGAGGGATGCTGGGGGGGCTGAGGGGTGCTGGGGGGGGTGGGCGATGCTGGTGCAGGAGGGCTGGGAGATGCCGAGGGAGGCTGAGGCGCAGGGGTGCTGTGGCACGAAGGGACGCTGGAGCACGAGGGACCCCCCCCCAGCCCCTTCTCCATGTCACCCCCCCCCCGGTGCAGCGAGCCAGCCTGGAGACGGCCATCGCGGAGGCGGAGGAGCGCGGGGAGCTGGCCCTGAAGGACGCCAGGGCCAAGCTGGGCGAGCTGGAGGCAGCCCTGCAGAAGGCGAAGCAGGACATGGCCCGGCAGCTCCGCGAGTACCAGGAGCTCATGAACGTCAAGCTGGCCCTGGACATCGAGATCGCGACCTACAGGAAGCTGCTGGAGGGCGAGGAGAGCAGGTGGGGGGCACCCCCGCCTTGCTGGCACCCGGGGGGGGGGGGTGGGGGTGACATGGTGGGACCTGCATCCCACATCCCGTGGGCGTCCCGCAGCCCCACCCCGGGAATCTGCGGCTCAAAGCTGTGGAGGACCCCATGTCCCTCTGCCACCGCCTCCCCAGCCCCGTCCTTGGCCTCGGGCATGTCCCTTAGCCCCCACCCCAACACTCGGCGTGTGTCATCTGTGTGTGTGTTTCCCCCCCCCCCCCCCCCCCCTCCCCAAATTTCTCCTGGCAGGCTGGAGTCCGGCATGCAAAACCTGAGCATCCACACCAAGACGACGGGGTACTCGGGTAAGGCCGGGGGGGGCGGTGGCTGGGACCCCCCCCACCTTGGGTGCCACCGCCCGGTGCCACCGTGCTGACGGCTGTCCCTCTCCCCCAGCAGCTGGCTTCAGCGGGGGCTTCGGGGGGGGCGTGGGGGGGGGGGTTCAGCACCTCCTTCGCCAGCTCTGGCTACGCTGTGCCCCCCCCGGCCCTGGAGAGCTCGTCCCTCACCAAGTCCCGCGCCATCGTCATCAAGAAGATCGAGACCCGCGATGGCAAGCTGGTGTCCGAGTCCTCCGACGTCCTGGCCAGCTGAGCCCCCCCTCCCCGGGGGGGGGTCCCTCCACAGGAGCCTTTGGTGGCCGGAGCCGGCCCACAGACGGACGGGACCCCCCGCACCCCCTTCCCCTCCTCCCAGGGCAACCTGAGCCAGTGCCCCCCCCGCTCCAGGTCCCCACTGAGGTCCCCAAGCCCCCCCATTCTCCCCAACCCCTCTTTCTCTCCGCCCTGGCCCCCCCTCCATGTCCCCATCAGAGCTGTGGGGTGGGAAATGGGGGGGCCCAGCCTGCCCCCCGTCTGGGGCGCTCCCACCGGCTCTGCTGCCGGAATAAAGCCTTTGAAATACGGGGTGGTTTTGGGAAACGTTGGTGCCAGGAGCTGCTGCCCAGGGGACGTGAGGGACCTGGAGAAGGGTCCACCCCTGGCCAGGGGTGCTGGGGTCTGTCTTGGGGTGCCAGGACCCACCCTGGGGTGCCAGGATCTGTCTTGCGGTGTCCAGGTCCCTCCTGGGGTGCCAGGACCCACCCTAGGGTGCCAGGATCTGTCTTGGGGTGTCAGGGTCCCTCCTGGGGTGCGAGGACCCTCTTTGGGGTGTCAAGATCTGTCTTAGGGTGCCAGAAACCACCCTGATGTGCCAGGATCTGTCTTGGGGTGTCCAGGACCCATCCCGGGGTGCCAGGACCGGTGTTGGGGTGCCTGTGTCCATCCTGGGGTGCCAGGACCCACCCTGGGGTGCCAGGATCTGTGTTGGGGTGCCTGTGTCCCTCCTGGGGTGCCAGGATCTGTCTTGGGGTGCCAGGATCTGTCTTGGGGTGCCTGTGTCCCTCCTGGGGTGCCAGGATCTGTGTTGGGGTGCCAGGATCTGTGTTGGGGTACCTGTGTCCCTCCTGGGGTGCCAGGATCTGTGTTGGGGTGCCTGTGTCCATCCTGGGGTGCCAGGACCCACCCTGGGGTGCCAGGATCTGTCTTGGGGTGTCTGGGCCCCTCCTGGGGTGCCATGAACTGTCTTGGGGTGTCAGGGTCCCTCCTGGGGTGTGAGGACCCTCTTTGGGGTGTCAAGATCTTGTCTTGGGGTGTCCAGGACCCACCCTGATGTGTCAGGATCTGTCTTGGGGTGCCAGGACCCATCCCAGGGTGCCAGGATCTGTCTTGGGGTGTCCGGGTCCCTCCTGGGGTGCCACAATCTGTCTTGGGGTGCCAGGACCCATCCTGGGGTGCCTGTGTCCCTCCTGAGGTGTCCAGGACCCACCCTGGGGTGCCAGGATCTGTTTTAGGGTGTCCAGGACCCTCTTTGGGGTGTCAAGATCTGTCTTGGGGTGCCAGAACCCACCCTGATGCACCAGGATCTCTCTTGGGGCGCCAGGACCCATCCCGGGGGCGCCAGGATCTGTCTTGGGGCGCCAGGACCCACCCTGGGGCGCCAGGACCCACCCTGGGGCGCCAGGATCTGTTTTAGGGTGTCCAGGTCCCTCCTGGGGTGCCAGGACCCTCTTTGGGGTGTCAAGATCTGTCTTGGGGTGCCAGAACCCACCCTGATGCACCAGGATCTCTCTTGGGGTGCCAGGACCCATCCCGGGGGCGCCAGGATCTGTCTTGGGGTGCCTGTGTCCCTCCTGGGGTGCCAGCACCCATCCCGGGGTGCCAGGACCCACCCTGGGGTGCCAGGATCTGTCTTGGGGTGCCAGCACCCATCCCGGGGTGCCTGTGTCCCTCCCGGGGTGCCTGTGTCCCTCCTGGGGTGCCAGGACCCACCCTGGGGTGCCAGGATCTGTGTTGGGGTGCCTGTGTCCCTCCTGGGGTGCCAGGATCTGTCTTGGGGTGCCAGGATCTGTCTTGGGGTGCCTGTGTCCCTCCTGGGGTGCCAGGATCTGTGTTGGGGTGCCAGGATCTGTGTTGGGGTACCTGTGTCCCTCCTGGGGTGCCAGGATCTGTGTTGGGGTGCCTGTGTCCCTCCTGGGGTGCCAGGACCCACCCTGGGGTGCCAGGATCTGTGTTGGGGTGCCTGTGTCCCTCCTGGGGTGCCAGGATCTGTCTTGGGGTGCCAGGATCTGTCTTGGGGTGCCTGTGTCCCTCCTGGGGTGCCAGGATCTGTGTTGGGGTGCCAGGATCTGTGTTGGGGTACCTGTGTCCCTCCTGGGGTGCCAGGATCTGTGTTGGGGTGCCTGTGTCCCTCCTGGGGTGCCAGCACCCACCCCAGCCTGCAAACCCCAGCGCAGCCCCATGGCACACAACGTGTTCTCGGTGTCTTCCAGGCTCCCCCGCACCAGCCGGCCCGGGCGCTAATTACGGCCTCGTTAGTGCTGGCTGTAACGAAGCCGCGGCCGGCGGCCCTCAGAATCCAAGTGGCCGAATCCTGCAGTATTTTCCCCCAAACCAAGGCTCCCTCCGGGATCCAGGTGACACCTCCCCGTCACGTCTGTCGCTTGGATCCTGGAGCTGCCCCAGGCCGGAGGCTCGGCCCTGTGGGATTCTCCAGTGTCTCGTAGGAGGGTTGAGCCCTGGGGTGCTGCTGGGAGGAAAATTGTGGGAGCCTTTTCTTTTCAGCCGCCCCTGCCCCGCCCGTGGGGTTTGCTGCGCCAAAAGTGCGGCCAGCGGGGCCCCAAGTCACCCAGGGAGGAGGGGACACCCCCCTGGGTGCCCACATACGTTCCTCCTTTCCTCCCTGGTCTGGAGTCGCAGGGAGGGAGTGAAGCAGCTTGGTTTGGGGGTTCCAGCCCCCCCCCCCCCTTGAGATCCAGCCCTGGGAAGAGCAGGAGGTGTGTGTTTACTGGGATTTTCCGCCCCAAACCCCTCGGAGGTGACAAGGGACATGACCAGGGCCGTGGGAGCTGCTGGTGGCAGAGACACGGGGGGGGGGCAGGTGGGCTGGGGACCCTGATTCAGAGCCGTCCCTGGGGGGGTCCCCGTCGGGGGGGACAGTAGGATGGGGGGACCCGGGCTCGGAGCTGGGACGTGGCAGACGGGGACTTTGCCCCCTGGTTAATAATTAACAGCACCAGCTCGTCAGGGCTGGGGACGGATCCTGCTCACACGGCGGGGGGGGGGGGGGGGTAGGATTTGGGGGTTCTGGGTGGGATGTGAGTGGCTTTGGGGGGTTTGGGCAGCGGAAGTGGGGGTTCAGTATCCCCCCCCCCGGCACCGCTGGCACCTCCAGTGACCCCTTAGCGGTGGGGGGGGGGGTTACGAGGTGGGGCCGGGGGATGTCCCCAGGGTATTGGGGTGCTCCGGGAATTGGGGTGCAACCTCCCGCCTCCCATTCCCGGGCCGGAGGTGCCACCTGCTGTCTGCACCCTCCGCCTCCGCTGCAATTACCGCTTGCAGCTAATTAACATGCTTATGGGGGCTGTGGGGTCCCCTGGCCCCCTTTTCCCCCCTCCCCCCCCCCCCCCCCCCCCCCGTGCAATGCACCATGACCCCAGTCCTGCCAGTTTGCACCCCAGGGGCTCGGGGGGCCCCCCCAGTTTTTGGTGTGATGCAAAGGGGGGGAGGCGGGAGCACCGCGCCCGCCAGAGGCTCCCCGAGAGCCGCCTTGACACCCCGCATTCCCGGGGGGGCCCTAAGGGTCTGGGGGGGCCCTTGGGGGGGCTGGTGCTGGGTGAGGGTGGGGGGTGACACAGCTGAAACCCCCCCACTCCCCAATAAGGGGGGGTGGCAGCAGTCGCTGTGCCCAGGCTTCCCCCCTGCCCGGGGTGGGGGGGATTAAAGTGGGGCCACCGCCCCGCACCCCGTTTTCTGTGTCCGTCCGTCCCCCCCCCCCCCCCCCCCAGATTTCAACACGACCCTGATCCTGCCCCGGGGCGTGGCTTTCGTGGGGGCCCCCTCTCCCCCTCCCCAGGATGTATCCAGGTCCCTCGGGGCTCATTCTGCTTTTTGGGGGGGTGGGAGCTGGTTTGGGGGCTCACCAGGGTGCTTGGCCCGGGAGAGGGTTGGGGATCCCCCCAGAAATTTTGTCCCCAGCCCCTGTGGCAGTCCCGTTCCCCCCCCGCCCCGGGCCCCCTCCCCGGCTGGTTTTGGGGTTCGCGGGACGCTGGAGGGCGGCAGAGGAGCGGGGATGGGTTACGGCGCTGCCAGATCCCGGGGTGCAGGCAGCCGCCTGGGACCCGGGGGGGGGGGCGGGGGGGGGGGGGGGATGATGGGGTCCCCTTTCGGTCCCCCAGAGAGCGGGTGAGGGGGATGAGCCGGCCCTGCGGGGTCCCACCCAGCCCTGACCCCCAGCTCCAAACCCCAGTGAGAATTTGGGGGCTGGATCCGGCTGGGGGCTACCGGGGGGGGGGGGGGGGGGGGGGAACAGCCCTGGTGCAGCTGAGGCCGGGGGGGGGCCCATGAACCCCCCGATTCGGAAAGGCTGGGGATCGCGGAGACGTGACTTTGCAGGGGAAACTGAGGCACGGAGGGGGTGGGGGGGGGCCGGGGAACCCAGGGGGTGCTTGTGCGGCCGGAGGGGAGCACCCCCCCCCTACCCCCCCCCCAAAGTATCACCCCATCTCGGAGGCAGCACCCCTGCTGTGCATAACCCCCTTCCCCAGGGGGGGGCACTCCAAAACCCGGGGTGCTGGGCGCCCATGGGTGCTGGCACAGCCGGATCCCGGCGGGCAGGGCCGGGCAGGGCCGGGCAGGTCCCGGCAGCGCTGGGATCGGCTTGGGGGGGGCCGGGGGGGGGGCGGTTCGGGCAGCGCAGGGTGCGGTGCCACCCCGGGTTTCGGTGTCGCTCCGCCCTGATGGGACCGGGGAGGTCGCGGGGAGGCGGGGGGGGGGGACACACGACCTCGAGGGTCCCTGCGGCTTTGCGGGACCCAGGGGCACCCAGAGCGTCGGGGAGGGGGGGGGGAAGGGGGGGCGGAGTTCAAACCACCCGCCACCCCCGAAAAAAGGTCCCAGGGGTGGAGCTGGGGGGGGGTGGTGCGCTGGGTGGGGAAACTGAGGCACGGCTGCAGCGATGCGGGACCCCCCCCCCCCCGCAGGCAGGACCCACTCCCCGCTGGCAAGATTTGACCACTCGGGGCGGGGGGGGGGGGTCCATCCCCGGGGCCTCGGGCC